TGTGTTATACAGGAGGGTCAGACTAGATCAGGGGTCGGCAGCGTTTGGCACGTGGCTCGCCAGGGTAAGCACCTTAGCGGGCCGGGCCAGTTTATTTACCTGCTGACGCGGCAGGTTCGGCCAATCACGGCCCCCACTGGCCGCGGTTCACCTTCCCGGGCCAATGGGGGCCGCGGGTGGCCGAACCTGCCGCGTCAGCAGGTAAATAAACTGGCCCGGCCCACCAGGGTGCTTACCCTGGCGAGCCGCGTGCCAAACGTTGCCGACCCCTGGACTAGATGATCACAATGATCCCTCTGCCGTTAATATCTAAACTATGTGACTGATGGAACAGAAGTCATCTGAGTTACAGAAAATTGTTCTGGCAAGGGGCAGTTATGGGGTACTATGTTCAGAATATGTTAGTAGATGGATGTGGTGACCTTACCATAATACTGATATACTACCCTTATTACAATGAACTGATTTAATGGAGGAGAAAAAGGGATTGATTCCTTCTGGTCCCCTATATCAACCAGTTTGCATTCTGAAGCACGAGAGCATGAGATTAAATATTTGTATAACAAAAGGGTGCAGCATTTTCTTTATAGGGTTGTATTGTACTTATTCTTGTATTTATATCTTTGTGTATAAATAGAGTGGAGTGATTTCCTGGATATCGGGCTCTGCTTGTTTAAAATAATCTTAAAATGAAAGGGGACCCATATGTGCATCTTTTAATTCCCTGTTTGTATGTTGTTATGAACAGGTTGGAAGTTGGCTATGGCAGTTCCGTTCCTGTGGAAGGCAGCTGCGTTGGTAGAGAAGCACAGGACTGGCTTGTTGGCAGTTTCCTGCGCAGGACTGTTTGGGGCTAACCTTTCCTATCATGTCTTTCCCGAGCAGACGTTCAAACTGTGGCATCAGTGCTGGACTAAGGGGCAACCGGCTGAGCTCTCAGAGAAACTACGCAGCCTCTTCCACAATGTTCTGGGAGATGTTGGCGTGAAGTCCGTGAATTGTTACCAACCCTTTGCAGCTTTTGGCTTCCACCCAGTGAGTGCTGGGATCCCGTGGCTGCCTGCGGGCTCTCTGGTGGGCATCCCTGCCAATTTCAATAGCACAGCGGAGGACAGACAAGGAATTGTCAACCGTGTCGTCGTGATAAATGGCAGAGAAGTGGACTGGGAGAGTAAACAAGGGCTAGCTTTGAAGGAAGCCTTGATGTTTTCTCCAGAGGCTCAGAAGTTTGCCATTGCCAGAGAGATTGTGTTCTTGCAAAGCAATAGCCCTGTCGTTTATGCAGCTGTGCCTCCTGCTTGCTTAGCCATCACCTGTCTGTCTGGGGTGGCTATAAAGCAGCTTCTGGGCTTGTATTCTGGCCCCAGGGTGTTTCGAGGCATTTATAACATCACCATTGCAGCAATTGGACTTGTTGGCTACTTTCTTGCTTACGATGCCGTGAGCCACGCGCTAGACTACAGGTTGGACAGAAAGGTGGCCACCATTTCCAAGGACTACGCCAGAGGTGGGGTGGAATTCTACGACAAAATCCTGTCCCGCAACAGGACTCTCCGCACTCTTTTGGGCAAACGAGGCGAGAGAATTTATGCCCCTAGCGGTAACCTTTTCCCTAGGTACTGGTTCAGATTAAAGCACGCTCCATACACTTCCAGAAGAGACTTGATCGTTAATATTTTAAGAGTGCCCCAGGCATAGGAAGGGAGTGATTGGATTTTAAACTTATAAATTATGTATTCTCTTGGAATGCCACTGTGCTGCCTTCCTCTCCCCTCCCCCGCAACTTCATTCGTGTGCTGTTTTTTATTTTTGCATATAGTCTGGAAGTAGTGTTTAATTTTTCATTCACTGGACGCATATCTCTTAAAAAATTAAAGACCTATTTCGAAAGTCCTCTGTCCTACATGCATCTTAAACACTAAAGCCCACTCAGGGAGTGTTATTTCTCAGACATCTGGAAATGCTGGTACTTTACTCGCCTATAGTTTTGAAATAATTTCTAAAGAACGCAAAAGGTGAAGTACCACACAGAGAATTTTTGTGGCATTAATTTAAAGTGGGGTGAATGTGTGTGTGTGTATTATACATATTCTCCACCCCCCATATGGTACATCCTAAAGGAATGGTGGGAGCTCTATCACACCCGAGACATTTAAAATAGACTAGACAATACAGTGTAAGTTGCTCTCATTCTGCTCGTGAATTACTATTTTTTTTTTTTTGCCACTTATACTGTAATGCCCAGTGTCTCCGAGTGGTCCGGCTGGTGTGGGGCAGCTTCTCGTTATCCCCAGTTCAGGGCTGTGGCTAAACGTCAAGAGAGCCATTAACTCTTCCATTTTCAACTTACTCAGAACTTGGGAGCTGCCATCTTGCTGCTTGTTGATAAATCAAGACAGGAAAAAACTTGCTCTCCCCATTAATTTGCATGGGAGAAGCCAGGTGCTTTGAACAGGGTTTCTACTGTTTTGTTTTAAGTAAGTTGGAATCTTTATGGAAACAATTAATTTTCATTATGTCGCTTTGCATATGAAGTATAATGGGAGGGAGGCTGGTAGGAAGAGCTGAGTGAGCGAGGCTACTGCCAGTGTTGTGAGGTGGGGTGAATCTTTAAATGTTTGGTGGGAAAGCAAGGTTGGGGAGAGCTGTAAGTGTATATTGGGTGAAACTGGAGAACTTGGGCAGGGAACCTGGCATTTGGGCAAAGATTAGGCTAAAGGAAGAGGGGACAGGTTTTGAGGAATACAGGGTATTTAGGAAACAGATTGTATTCTTTAAAGCTTCTGTCTATAAAGTGTGGCCCTAGTGGATTCAAGCCCTGGGTTCTACTCCTGTCTCTGCTGCTGAGTGACCTTGGGCAAGTCATTTCACCTCTGTATGCACCTCAGTTTCACCTTCTGTAAAGTGAAGATGATGTTGACCTTCCTAAAGTGCTTTGAGATCAGCTGGTGAAAAGCACTATATATAACAGCTAGATTTTATAATTATTAAAGAAAAACAAATATAGTTCAAGGGAGAGTAAAAGCTAAGAGCGTTTGTTGGCAGGTGGGCTGCTCTTTCAAAACAGATTCAAACTTACCTAAAACCAGCAGCACTCCAAGAACCCTTTTAATCTAAGAAAAAGAGTGGACCTGATTCTCCATTGCCCTGGACCACATGTAGTCATTTTTCCCAGCACAAAGTCAGTGTGAAATGCCACCATTCTGATGTGGTAGCATTTTACACCCACTCTGTACTAGTGCAAATGACTACACCAAGCAATGGAGTTAATTCTTTCCTAAATTGTCTGTAACCGTAGCCACCACAGGCTGTGGTCCCAGCCAAAGGAATATTCATACTTCATCAGGAACTTATATAGCAGGGAGATTTTATGTATGTGTTTATTTTCGGGGGTGGGGGGAGGGAATTTTGATGACATATCGCTGGAATTTTCCCTTAATATCCAGTGACTTAACAGAAATATTTGACTTGGGTAAAAGACACTGCACAGCAGGTGTGCTAGGTGAAAAATAATTGTATTGGGTTTGGTACCATTTGCAGTGTTGCTTGCTCCTTACTGACAGTTGAATGTGATCAGAGAGGTTTACCATGCTATAAAGACATTTTTATTAGCAGGAGAATCAAAATCAGACCCCCTTTCCATAAGGAAAGCAGAGAAACTTGTAGCTCACAGAACATAAGGTAACATGAGTCTGCATTTTTATTTTTCTATTAAACATTGCATCAGCTCATCAGATTACAGTGTACCAGGATGGGAGTGTGTTCTAAACCAGTGGTGCTCAAACGTCCCGCGGCCTGCGCCGCTTCCCACAGCCCCCATTGGCCTGGAGCGGCAAACCGCGGCCAGTGGGAGCCGCGATCGGATGAACCTAAGGATGCGGCAGGTAAACAAACCGGCCCGGCCCGCCAGGGGCTTCCCCTGAACAAGTGGGGGCCCGAGTTTGAGAACCACTGTTCTAAACCCTGCTGCAGTACATATGAATGGGCTTCAGTAGGATGCTTGATTTTCTACAGTCGCTGTCGCAGGAGGTCTGCCAGTGTAGGCCACTCCTGCGGTTCAGCTGGACATCATAACAGGAATTCTACTACCACCACTCTCCACTAACATCTGCACAATTTTCCAAACTTGTCCTGAATATCTCATGCTATAATGCATGTTCTTGGTTCTGGATGAGCTAAGAGAATCTCCCGCATTACCCTCGTACATCCCTAACCTCAGCTGGTAAAAATCTTCCTCATCTCTCATGATGAAGCTGTCGTATTCTGCATCTTTGTGCCTGCCCTGGGCATCAACTACATTTATACGGACTTTGTACCATTTTTGCTTGGTGATGAGGTTGATAAACTTATTGCCAAGCCAGTGACCTCCCTCTAGGTCGCCAAAGCCATATTTGTAGGTTGTCCAGGCTTCTGACCATGCGAGCTCAGAGTTGTGGCTTTTTCTCTGGATTACTATCCACCCAGTGCAGCCATCCATATAGCACTGGACCACAAGCATGCAGCTTCCTTCAGGCTGCATGATGTAAAGGCCACTCTCACTGTGGTGTGAATGGAAAACTTTCATCCCAGTCCCTTGGGAAAGCTGAGGAATAAAAGAAGCTGTAGATGATTGGCTGATTCTAAAACTCAAAGCTAAATTGCTTTGTCTCTTCTCAGAATAAGCTTAAAGCTAACATAAACAGAAGTAGTAAAGGTCAAGACTGAAGTGCCTTGCCTGTGAAGTGTGGAGACCTAGAATTGGAATATGACTCAGAATTTAGCCCATTATGTCAGATTCTTCCCTGGTGTAACTCCACCAGAATCCACAAAACACAGTTGGCCACTTTTGTTTGTTTGTTGGTTTGGTGTCACACAGTTACTCCATACTAAATACTGAGTGCACTGGGGGAATGGAGACCTGCCTTCAGTCAGCAAATATGGCGATTTAAAAAAATTAAAGAAAGCTGCCTGCCTGCTACCATGGCGTAGCACAGTCTTGTCTTAAGTGCCTGCAGGCCGTGCTCTTATGTAACATTAAAGCATGTTATAAAGCCCCAGTGGTAGTAATGGATTTTCCAGCTGCTTACTCTATAACTGCAATGCAGCGGGTCTCTTTAGCAACTTCACGGGCCTGTAAATGCTTCATTGTTCTCTCATCAGCTGTTCAAGGAACCTGCTTTGGCATGTAGAGGTCAGTAAGTGTAATTATTTTTTTAACAGTACATGATCTGGCTTTCCAAGGAGCAGCTTCTTACAGAAGTAGCAGCATTTGCACTCCTCTATCTGTGTAGCTCTACCTCAATTCTTACACTGGCCCCCATCCCCATGGCATCTGAGCACCATTCTTGTTACTGAGCTGCCCATATAAAACAAAGAGAGAGCTCCAACCAAAACTGCTAATTTAAATTCCCCGGAGCTTTGGAGAGTTTTGGAATTGTGTGTGTGTGTGTGTGGGTACACAGAAGTTCCACAGAGTGATTACAGAACTGGGCCAACTACTGTGTGTGACAAAAGCAAGATTCCCAGTCTTGAGTATGGAAATGGCTATGAGAGTCCTGACCTTCCATACCAGTGCGAGCTGGATGATAAAAATAGAAGCATCTTCAGACACGGCCACTTGGGGACTTCAGAAAATCAGTTTGTGGTTAGCAGTATAATGAAATCTGCACTCGATCTGGAGTTCAAATGTTATGGCTTGTGGGGAATTGGATTAAAAAATAAAGATGCTGTTTTTCTGTAAATATTTATAATGCAGGAGTAAGGAAATGAGTTCCTGGACTCTTGTACAACATTAGCAGAGAGAATAACGAGGGGTTTAATTTAAATGGATGGTTGGGAAAGATGAAGATAGGAAGGCAAATTTTAAAAAGGAACAAAACCTAAGATACTAGAACCTACAGATCGACTCTAATGAAAGAAGAGGCCATTCATACAAATGCACAGTCATTTTCAGGCCTGAATAAAAATATCATTAAAGGGTGAAGTCTAAATAGCATTAAAGGAAATGGACAATAAAATCACTAAAATAGGTTTTTAAATTTTGCCACCACTTAGTATACAAGGAGAGATTTAAAAATGTTCAACAGTCACTTAATTTAAAATACTATTTTGGATCACTAATAAGCTTGAGAGATGATCGAAAACCAGTAAGGCTCCGTCTACACTAGAAACCTCAAAGTGCTGCTGCGGGAGCGCTCCTGCGGCAGCGCTTTGAAGTGTGAGTGTGGTTACGCGCAAGTGCTGGGAGAGAGCTCTCCCAGCACTCCTGGTAATCCACCTCCACGAGGAGAATAGCTCCCAGCGCTCGGAGCCTGTCCACACTAGCGCTTTAAAGCACTCAAACTTGCTGTGCTGAGGGGACGTGATTTTTCACCCCCCGAGCCAAGAAGTTAGAGCACTATAAAATGCAAGTGTAGACAAGTCTCAAGGCTGGATAGCATTTCTTCTGGAGAATTAAGTAAGATGAAGATGATTCATTCTAGGGCAATGAGCATGATGGAGAAGTGATGGAATTCGAGTTCATTCCTAATTAGCTATTCTGTGTAAGTACTAAACAAAATGGGATTACTCTGTTTAGACAGAAAAAATGATGTTCAGTGATAACTAAAGCCGAGTAAATAATTGTTTTTGTTTTGTTTGGTTTGAAAAGTTTTGATTCATTTTTAAACAAACTGGGTTTTTCTTACAAATGAAAAAACATGTGTGACAGGTTACCCCCAACTTCGGGGTGCCATCTGATGCACTGGGATACCCCTGAGCCCACCGTTTCCACCAGTTGGGGCTCCCTTCGCTGCCCTGCTGAGCCAGGCCCTCAAGCCACCTCCAGCACAAACACAGTAGGGGGACACCCAGCTGCAGAAAGACAGTCACTGAAATCAGTTCTGCATGGGAAGACTTCAGCTAGGGAACTG